CATTGCAAGGCGGTTCGACTCCACACAAAGTTACTTGGCACAAGATACAAAATCTTCACTTGAAAGTCCACTCAATTCTGACAAATTTTCCTCCAAAGAATGCAATCACGAGTCAATTGTCAGATGAAAATAGCAAATATACTTGTAAATACTTCTTTGTGTATTTCCAAAGTGTCTTGCTGTGAAATCAATGTTTAATGTTTTCTTTTTCACGTCTATTTCTCCCATCTTGAGCACGCAAGTGTGGGTGAGGCATGTCTTAGACGCAATTTATCACAGGCACCAGACAAAATTATAAACTTTAGACACGAATAAATATTATTCCACTGGCCATGCAGAGGTTTTTCATTTATTTGTCTTGCTTCGCACGATGCTTCCAGATGAAGATCCGACCTTTTAAAAGCTTTTAGAGAGGTTCAATAGGCCCATTAGCTCAGGGTGGAACTTAAAGTTTTGCCCCAAATCTCTTTAAAGAAAAGATTCCACAGCACCAGACAAGTTTATATAAAAGGAAACAGATCAAAATAAGGTCTTTAGAATCCCAATGACAGTGTGCGGGTGTGAAAAATTTAAGGCAATAAAATCCCTGAAGCACATTCCAATGGTGGAAGCCTTAAAAGATTTCACATCTGCGGATGAATCCTTGAATCCACGACTGAAGCTCTGACAGTGTCAAGAAAATGTTTTTTCCCCCTCATATTTTCCTCTCTTGCCTTTGAGAGGCAAGACATTGGCATATATGTATGTAATATCATAAGGGAGATTTTCTTCATCTTCGAAACCATCATGAGTCTATCATTCAATATTGTATTTTCATTTTGTCAAATAAATATTATTTCTCATGTAATTTAGATGCGAAAGCACAGCGTGTGTTTTCATAATGACAATATTCGCCATAAATCCTCGTACAAGCAATAAAAACTCCTAAGATAGAAGACATCTTCGCCCTGTTTACACGGTCCCTCGAGGAACTTTTCAGCGCAATATCTCAAAGTGACACCAAGAGAGAAAACATACACACACACCTCAATCATGCTCTGCCAAATCGTGGAATTAGGAAAATGTGGCAATTTACTCGAGATCCCCAATTGCATGAGCACAGGTGTATTTATGTAAATTGTGAGCTTGTCTTTTGCACAATGATGAAAAAGCCAACAGCAACACTGCAGAGACTTCAACCTGTTCCTCCTATTAAGCTCCCGTATCTCAACCCCTTCTTGCCCAGGGTGGAAAACTAAATAAGCAAGGAAAAGTCTCGAGTCAGAAGCACCCTCTTGGCTTTTTTGTTGCCACCAGGAGAGAGCGAGTCCTTTTCCTCACGCGCCAAATGGAACATGGAGGGATTGCGTGTGGTTTCAATTTGTGGGTTTCACAGGCAGCTTAAGTTCTCAGCCACTGCCTGGCAATCACTGAGAGAAACTTGGCGCTCTTGCTTTATGCCTAAGACCATCGGCCAGGGATGCACTTAGAGTGACAACAACAGCCTGACGAAAGAATACAAACCCCACTTCAAGACGCTCTCAATTCACAGAAAGTAATTTTAAATTATTCATCTCCGGCTCTCGCAAGCTCTTCGCCATTTTCCCTTAATGACACAATGAGATGGTCAATTCCGGCCCTGAACAGCCTGTGGCTCTCAAGCACCTCCTCATAATACGCAATTTGTGTGTTTGGTGAGAATAGAGAAGTATCCTGAAATGTAACAATAAATTTATGAATGTTCTTCTTCAGCCACACACATTCGCCGTTTTCTGGCTTCTTTAACACACATTTTGGGCCCTCAGCACTTTCCCAGATATATTATGTTAATACACCCTTACACCTTTTCATTCAAAACAGACCATGTTAGGAGGAAATTGTGTGATTGTGCTGTGGAATAAATTTACATAAGTTCCCTCCAATTTATATGGCTCTTTAAGTATTTGTCGGTTGTGAATTCTCAATTTTATACCTACCGAATGTATAGTTTTCCAAACACACACACACAAACCCTCTATATTGGGTGCATAATTAAATAAGTCCGCTGGGAAATGTTGTTAAAAATAATTCTGCCAGGTTCTATACATGGCTGTGGTGTACGGGAAAATGGGCAAACAAGATGAAAAGAAGTAGAGGTGTACATTTGGAGAGGCCACAATTAAATCCAAACACCGGAGGGATTTAATCACACTATCGAAGTTCACCTCCTTCTGGTCTATCACTCAGGCACAGACAAGTTGGAGGGTGATTTGATTCCTGTTCCTTAACTTTGCCTTAAGAGCCCACCATTGCCACTTTGGGGATGTTTCACTCGATGGTTTGTCCATGTATTTGATTACAAGGGTCGGTTGGACAATCACAAACTACGTGGTTGTACGCTAAGATCACACCACTTTCCCCCGAGGGCGCTTCGCCAACATCCCCACACTTGAGCCACACCGACACAGCAGAGAGGTGACGATGATGGTCACCGCACGTAGCAGTAGCTAACAAGTAGATAAATCAATAAATGGGAGAGAAGGTGCCCATTATTTCCCACCCACCCATTATTTTTCCTTTCCCCCATTCAACCCCCGACGCGCCACATTTGAACCCAACCCTGATCAATTTTATTCAGCAGAAAGTGAGGGCGAGAGGATTAATATCAACAATGGACAACATGCCAGAGTTATTTGCTTGGGAGAGCACGCTGAAAGGCAAGGAGATACAGATGGTCATGGGCGCAAAGGAGAATTCAATACCATCCAAATAATTCATAATTTAATTTAATTTCTCATCTCTTGAGCAAATCTGTTTCTCATGATTCCTTAATATTATATTAGGATTGCATGGAGAGAAAAGATCTGTCTTGATTTCTACAGAATTCCTCATTAATAGTTGAAGTTCAAGAACAAAATAAGGTTTTTCTTCCTTTGATGTCGCTGGGATTCGTGGTCAATAGAGAAGTTAAGCGAATAGGGAACTTCCAGTTTACTAAATGTAAATAAAGCCCATTACAATAAAAGAATTTTTATTAAACAATTTGAATTATTGGATCTCAAATTGAGAATTTACAAACTGTCCGATGAAAGGGCGGCAACAAAAAGGGGGTGGCCAAAATGAGTGCACAAGAAAGGGCGACAAAGGAGAGAGAAAAAGGAAGCAGATGAAATTGAATAAAAAGCTCTCGGCGGTTTTTCTCAGCGCATCAACGCTGAAAGACGACCTAAAGAATGGCAGCAATTTTGCAGGGCGGCACAGAGAAGGAAAATGGAAGGTTTGCGGAAAAATCCGCTGAAGGAACTTGATTAAAACTTTCGTCCCGCCAACAATACCACGAATTTATTTCGTCGGGTGGGCTTTTTTCTCTCAGCAAAGTACGGAGAAACAATGAGGGTGGGGGAGAAAAGTCGAAATTGAGTAAATTTGTGAATTTTCTCATTAGATGTATGTCATACTTTTCACAGAAAAACTTCATTCTCTCAATTGGGCGGACGGATGAATTTTCCACCCTGCGTGCTTTTGCACTTGAAGGCCTTCTGGGAAAATATTGGTGGGGGGTGTTTGAGTGTGGGTGAGGTGGAAAATCCAAAAACTCTTATTAGGCATTGCAATAAATTTTCCTCTTGAGAAATATGAGAAACTTCCCACTCGACGTAATTCTTTTCACTCGCCCCGTCGCAGGAAAATGTCATTAATATTTTATCCAAATGGCGAGAGAGAGTGAAAAATTTGCTCTCAATGAAAAATTCACCCCCGGGGAAAAAGATGAGCTCCGGAATGGGAGAAATATTAACCAACAATATTGCAATTTCATTGAATGGATATTTAATGCTCTCGCCTCATCTCTTCATTCATTCTTATCGTCTGACTGTGGTAAATTTCCTTGGCGGAATTGCATGTGGGCGGAATACGAGTGCTTAAGAGATTAAGGACGTGACTACAAAAATGCTCACGGACTCAGCCATTATTTAAAATCAATTACATGCTTTCTTTTGCCGCCCCCGTGGATAAACTCCATCGCGCGCGCGGTGGATTTCCAGGAGCCAAACGATAATTGTGTACGCCAACATTTGCCTCACAGAGAGAGAAAAAAAGGGAATCCCATTTGAGAATGTCGGAAACACGAAAAAATACGTGATTGTTTCACTTTTTCATATACGCAAAGAGATAAAACCGCGCGCGCGATTCCTGAGGCTCGACAGTCCCTCAAAGTTGCGGGCGGACAACAAAGAGGTGAAGTCAGGCAATTTATCAACAAGTTGGGGGTGTTGACCGTAAATTAAGTGATTTACAGACCTATTTTTTATGCGCACCACCCACTCGCGCCCCTTTTCACCTTTATTATATATGCAAATTCCATATTGTTGCATATAACACATAAATTAACGAGATATTCCATGCGATATTGCATGCATTTTTTCCATCTTCATTCGCGCGCCCTGTCGTTTAGAGTGGGTGGTGCTGAGCGCCCCGTCGAGGCTCAAATGCGAATGCTAAAAGGCAGAAATTGCACGTGAGAACCGTGATTCTGGCTCCTGAGCATTCATAGTTGAAACCAGAGAGAAGAAAAACGTAAACCCCATTTTTCATTCCGGCAATTGATGGTTGTTTCAGCGCAAAATTCTTGCACAACAATGCAAATCTGAACATTGCCGAGGATTATGTGAACGTGGTGAAACTCCGCTGAGCTTACTTTATTTTATAATAGCTCAGGAAACGACTGTTAAATGTATAATGAAAATGAAATGTGCAATGTTTGCTCGTTATTAAATAAAGAAAATTCCTCGTATGACATTGTTTTACGAGGTTCTGAGGCTTTTTGCAGTGCATTGAAATAAGGGAATAAAATATTTATTTATTGTCTTCAGATTCAATAATACAAAGAATAACGCCAGTTCTGACCAACCTTCACAATTCCCTGGCTAAATGGCACCATTTTTGGGTCAAGAATCAATTAAAAGCCATGGGAAAAAAGGTCCATTTGCGCCCAGGTCCAGTCGAAAAGCGTGTGACGTCTTTTTTTTCTCCTCCTGTTTCAGGTAACGTCAAATTTTAATGATACCACCTGGCCAAAGATCGTGGAACATCCGGAGGATGCGGAGGAGGAGCCAGACGCTGTGACATTGTTATCAATTTTACTTGTTGGTGAGTTGAGTCTATTTCTCGTTCCTACTTTCTTCCCTCTCGTGCAATTAATTAATTGGACTTTGTGCCCATGAAAAAGCTCCCGCAGCATTTAGGAGCCTCCCCTCCTCGTCCACCCTTCGCTGCGGACGGCAGGAGACTGTCTCATTAACTTTTGTGTCTCATCACCAATGGTGGAAAGTGAAAGCTCTCGCACGGCGAGGGTGTGCAAATGAGGAACTGGGGTTCCTTTTTCCCTTGAATTCCTCAAACACAATTGACACACAGACGCGTGTATTTGTCCACGCTGTCCAAGCTTTAAAACACACACTTTTCACCCCCTCCCTTCTCTTTCTTTGCAGGTGTTTTTTTATCGCTACTCATTTTCTTGTCGGTTGCTGGCAACATTTTAGTGTGTATCGCCATTTACACAGAACGGAGCTTACGACGAATCGGAAATTTATTTTTAGCCTCTTTAGCCATAGCCGATCTATTTGTCGCATCACTAGTTATGACCTTTGCGGGGGTGAACGATTTATTAGGTAAGTTTCGCCCAACAAAGACTTTCTTATCTCACCCACGCGCCAGAGGGTGGTGAGTTCCGTGTATTCCGCCGCAGCCCACGAGCGCCTCGCGAATGTCCTCAACCCCAGGAAATCTCTTCACTCTTTGAGGTGAAATACTCCGGAGTTTATCTTCAGGGCGGTGGATCCCTTTGAATTCACATATCTTCCCCTCTCTCATTCTCTCCGCCCTCGAAGCCACAATCTCCGCAATATGCCATATTAAAATCCCATTTTCCAGCATAATGATATGTGATTATGAGACATCCAGAGGATATCTCAGCATTGCTCAGACGTGAAACGCCAGGTTCATGGACGCTTCCTCGTTGGCGACTCTGCAGGGCGGCTTTTTCAGGGAAAAGCTCAGGCAACTTCTTGAGAACTCTTTCGTCCGCCTCGAGCAACGAGATCGGATATAGCAGCTTTGCAAACCCAAATCGTGTGTGGTATATATGTTGAGAATAGCGCATCAGCACAGGTAAATGGATTTTTTGGCTGTACACAACATCATCTTTATTCAAAGTGCAGAGTCGCTAACACCTTTTCCATCCACCCCTCAGCCCTCTCCAATCTCAGACTCCATCTCGAAAAACCCCTCGGGAAGCGAGTGGAGAGTGGATTTTCAGTGTTGAGTGACATGTAAAGGCGCAAAAGACCTGGGAAATTTACATCTTGCAGATGATGAATTTAATATATACGTCATTGGGGCAACTTTAAATGCATCGCGCTCACCACCCTCACTTTTTATGCGCTCATTCCCGGTGATGAATTGCCCGTGGGCGGACGCTTCCATCAGTCTTTCATGTGTGGCTCCCCAAGGCTGGAGTCGCCCCGCACCTGTTCTCGCCGCTGCTATATTTGTGTCTTCTTCTCGCCCTCTCTATTTAGGTTATTGGGTTTTTGGTGCCCAATTTTGTGACACTTGGGTTGCCTTCGATGTGATGTGCTCGACTGCCTCCATTTTAAATCTATGTGCCATTTCGCTGGATCGATACATTCACATAAAGGATCCTCTCAGGTAAGCCACGTCGCCGTGACGCCAAACCAGGAAGTGAGCGATTAAAATTAATTCGATCAGTGTTTCTCCCCGCATCAACCCTTTGGCGTCGCCGTTTTTTGGCCGCCTGCCAGAAGACAATGAGGGGGTGTCTTCCACCACCCTTTAGACCGCCCATAGCTGTGTGTGTGTATAGAGATTCGGTGGGGGGGCCTTCGGGGGATTTTCCGCACGCATTTACCCCATTTGCAAACACACAAATAAATTGGTCCAATTGTTGTGAGCAAGAGCCAGAGACAAATCTCTCATTTGTGCCTCCACAAAAGATCAACACACACAGGGGATTCCCCAAAGTGCTGAAATGTGACATCAATTTAATATTCTATCTGATGATCTGACAAAGTGAGGAATAATTTACACAAATTCTCACATCATTGGAAGATATACAGAGCAGTCACTTGAAAATCCCTTTTCACACTGACAACGACCATCTCACACCCTTCAAACCATCATTCGCTCTTCTGCACAAACTTACACATCTCTTCTCTTCTCTGCGAGATGAAAAATTCAACTACAAAGAGAGGGAGAAAGAGTATTAGAAGGATTTGTGAAGTCACTCTCGGTGGAAAAGATCTTTTTATTAGCCGAATGACAAGTGAATTTATCGCGCACTGTTTTATGCATATGTATACATATTTGCATCCATTTTTTTTTACTTCAATTCAGCACGACAAACAAGTCAAGGGGAGGAGACTTCAAATTGCGGTGTAGAAAGATAATTCAAGGACATATTAATTGTCCAAAGATGACCATTTCTAGGAAAACGACAACTGTAAGACAATCGTCGTTATTTCTCTCTCTCTCTCTCTCTTATGAATAAGAAATGCACTTGTTGGTACACCGCGTGCTCAAATAAATCCTCCTTGAGCACAACCGTGAAAGGTGCGAGTGAACAAACAGTGGGACAAAGTTTGCCCTTAACAAGAATTTATTTTTCAATTTAAAACACCACTCTTATGGAGAGCATCCTCGAATCCGTGGCACAACTTTATCAGTATTCATTCCAAAATTCAACCACAAGATGATTTTAAAATTGAAAAACCACCGCGAAAGAAGAAGAAAAAAACTTCCATCACTTCTCCTTCTCCTTGTGCTTTTGCCATTTTCCCCTCGGATGGGCCGGAACTTCAAGTTTAATTCTTCCACCAGTGAAACACTTTCTGTGGTGAATTTTTTGTTTGTCAGCTTGTTTTGCCTCTCCGCACTTGCTCTAGAGTATTATTTCATGTTGAAACACTTTTTTCCGGAGAGGATTTCTTGTGCATGCCTGAAACGGACTCTTTTGAGTGAAATAATAGGAGAAAATGAATTATCATGGGGTGGTTTGGTCCAGAAAGGAATTTCTCTCCATTTGACGAAACATCTTTTACACTTCTCGTGCAGGAATTATTTTTTTTGCGCGGGGGGCGGGGGATGGATTTTTTAAATAGGTTTTCTGTGTTCTTAAAGCACAACTGGGTCGAAGATTTATGGGGAAATTATATCGCTAGAAAAATCCTCAAGAGCTGTCTTTAACAATTTCCGTGGAAATTTTCTTTGGCGCGGGAAATGCCACAGATGGATTCATCCTTGCACTGAGGATCACATGAGAGATGAGACCAGAGAGTGACAGTGACATTTTACAATTAATCACCAGCACGGAAGTGAGATATTGTTGGTCAATTGGTTCATCACTCGTCAAGCGCGGTCGCGCATGCAACATAATTTATATACAATATAAAGGACATGGGAAGAGGGGTGAAAATAGGCCAGGAAAATTCATACACAACTCTATGCTAATTAGTGCCATTAAACACAGTAATTTCCGTCTTGATTTTGATTTATCACCCAATGAATGTCACACGGTGTGAGGCCACGAAATGAAGAAATACACCCACTTCATGACGAATTCCCCAAATTGCGTGTCCCCCTCGTCAAAAATTCATACACATCGCAAACATCGCGCCGCGCCACGTGTAATTTTTCACTCCCGCTGGGGAAAAGCATCCCCCGCGCCACGACAGTTCCACGCAAAAGAATTATCACCACCACCACACGCCGTATGCTAATATCAATTTGAGATCCGGAACAAGTTAATCAGGACAATTGCATATGTGGTTCGCGGAGAAGCGACGGGAATACGGCTGTCGTGATGCTTCCATACCTTCAGTATCACACACACACGTCATTTCGCTAAAAGGACGATTCCAACATCAGCCTGGATATATCAAGTCCATAAATCATAAATTCCCTGACAAGCAATCTAATGAAATGAAACGCTCTTCCTCTCTCTTTCTCAGTTATTGATTGGTTTCACAATGTTTATCCAATCGAGGGGTGGAGGGATTTTGAGGTGGAGAAGCACCACAGATAGGCTATCTCAATGTAATTTAAACCACAGGCGAGCTTTAGGCCAACGCTCAAAGGCATTTATTGTCTGATTTAGAAGATATGGACTTGAGCCATTAGCCAAAATCCAAAGGGATGTTAATAATAATCAAAGTCTTACAGACACTAATGTAGTTATCATTGCATCAAGACAATAACGTTAATTGTACTTTCATTGATGAGATTTAAAATAAAAGATTTCATGGGCGGGGCTTGCGAGTGGGCGGAGCTTTAAGAATGATTCTCTTCAACAATGCTAAATCTTCGTGAATACACAAGTGACAAACAAGTGTGGCATTTGTCTTACCAAGAGCGTGTAAGGATAACGCAAATGCGAGTAATATAAGCAAATTTGTCAGCAGGGAAAAATTCCAGAGTGTTGATGGAGTCCAATTCGGTGAAATTGGTCCTAAACTCAGGCAAGAGTGCGTATGGCAAATACTCATTTATTCACCATGAAAGATGGACAGGTGTATTTTTTGCCGGTGGCAAATCTCGAGGGTGGCAGAAAAAGGGCGACTCTGGGAGTGGAAAATCATTGGAACAAGTGCACACAGCACCCAAATGTGCCATAATATCGGATTGGGGTGCGCTGAAGGATCATCCTGACCATTTGGACGTCTGGTTTGTGTGTGTGTGGCAAAAACGACAAGAGTGGAAAATCCCTTCTCGCCAAAACACCGAGGGTTGTACACATGGGGGATGCAAAGTCATCAATACAGAGCAGAAAATATTCAATGGACAGTTTTCAGAAATCCCCAACCGAAATCCACATCCGTACCCATAGCTTTTCAATTCAAATAATATCAGGCTCAAAATATCAAAAACACGCGGAAATACCGGATTTCTGCCCAAAGGGTTCATTCTTCAAATTCAGAAAATAATCACCCTCGAGTTTGCATTTCATATCCCCACACAATTTTTTCGGTTTAACATGTGGCATGTGGGATAAAGAGAGGGAGAAAAAAGCAGAGGCTCTGTTGGATATTGGGATTAACATTGATGCATTGAACCAGAAATGGAAAAATTCAACAATCAAATTGAATCTCATCGCTACACGACGAAATACTTTAATTTTCCACATACACGACAGCAGCTCACACTCACCTGAACACCCAAAATCATTTGAAGATGAGGAAATTCTCACACATTTCTCCACAGCACGAGGATAATCCAATCCCCAACTGATTTATTGCCATATCTGCTCATATTCCCATCCAACGAAAGAAGCGCGCTCTCGTGGGTTAAAGCGGGTGATGTCAAATGAAATGTGCGTTTTGGGGTACACAAAAAATGGTGGGTGGAGAAAGTTTAAAAAATACACCCTCGGGCAGAGGGAAAAAATCCATTAAATCATACAAAACTTTTCCCTCGACTCGAGTAGACGACAAAGTAAGAAAAAAAAATCTATTCGCGATCTTTGACTCTTCTCCACTTCTATATTTTTTTCAATTTATATTTTGCCAGACAGAAAAATATGGCATGGAACAGCGTGTGAGTACACCTTTGGGGTGCTTTTCACTCCATGCAAGGCAATAATAATGCAAGTTTTGTTGCTGCTGGGCAAACACAAAAGTCCGTGTCCCACAACTTTTCCACCCTATATGGATTAACAAAGATGGGTGGGAAACTTGACATAGTACATTTGAGTTTTATGCAAAATGTAACGACCAAAAACAATTTAAATTTCGAGACGAGAGAGTTTGTGGGTCATCCTGTGCTCAGTGAAATATGAAAAACAACATAGTTTTAAAGACAAAGAGAGGTAGAAAGTATGGTTCTTGCTGTGAAACTCAAGGAAGGCAACCTGTGAGAGTGCTAGAGTGAAAAATTGGTCTGGGAAAATTCATTTAAATTCACCGGAGAAGTTTTTGAATTAAAAATGCATTCACATCTCCTGCAGACTCGTGGCATTTCACCACATACATAGTTCAATAGTTCTTCAGGCATTCTGGGCGCCGTGAAGGAGGTATTTTGACTGGAGGGAAGAACAATTTAGTTTCAATCGCTCACTCCCCCCTTTTGGCCCATATGGACTCAATTGCATGTGCTGCGAGGTCTTTAGTCCTTGGCTTGTTTCTGCATTATACAGGTATGGACGATGGGTGACCCGTCGAGTGGCTGTGGGCACCATTGTGGCCATTTGGCTGCTGGCCGGACTCGTGTCCTTTGTGCCCATCTCCTTCAATCTGCATCGACCCAACACACCGGACGATGACAATGGCAAGAAGTACCCGACATGTGCACTGGACCTCACCCCAACCTACGCCGTGGTCTCCAGCTGTATCAGCTTCTATGTACCTTGTATCGTTATGATTGGAATTTACTGCAGGTGAGACACACAAAACACCCAACCAAACAGCCCATTTCATGCTTTATCGATCCTTGGGTAATATTTTCCACTACAGCAATTCCCACCCCCGCTATAGTAATATTATTTTTACCATAGCCACCCCCGCCACAGGGTGACACGCTGATGTCCACTGAAGCGCCGCGAACCAAACACGGCAGAAAAACATGAACCGAAAACCCCAATTTTAATCCTATCATACTGAAAAACTCATAAACACACTTTCAGGGGTAGAAAAAAAATGCTCTCTTCTCATAATGTGATTAAACGGAGGGCCAAATTAAAAAGAAATGAACACTTCCGCAACAGACTTCAAAGGATGTCAAGAGGAGGAAATTAAGGCTCAAGCAATGATTGCCAGCGATTTCGTCACTGCGCAACCAAGAGTAGCTGTTATAGTTTTTAAAGCATCGTCACTTCATGGCTGTTTCCATGAATTTTTATTGCAAATACATGTTGAGAGGTGTTCAAACATCTCAGGGAGACAGTGCACAGGAGAGAGCTTTTAGCATAGCACATCCAGCATTATCATAATGACGATGCTAATAATATCGATTTTACCGGGGAGTGTTTTTATTTTTATTATTAGTGGCGCAAGCAATAAAATAATTGTACGGCAGTAGCAAAAAAATGTAAATAAAATCATCAAGTTTATGAATCTCGGTCAATGGATGCAATAACAATGCGTGAAAAGGGGAGGATTTTTGGAAAAATTAAAAGCTCTCGTGCATTTATATTTCCTATGGGCGGTATTTAATTTAAATTCTAGAATAAATGAATGTGAAAGCAAATACAATGCTTTTTTGCACATACGCAAATTAAGTGCAGATTAATTTGACACCGGCAAGTTAATTATTTGCAACCATTCAAAGGGGAAGTCATAAAATCATAATTACACCCAATGACGTAATTCGTAAGACCAAACTTGTTCAATTACAGTGGAAAGTTTGTGAAATCATTGAATATTCGACTAAAAACGGATGTGATTACATCAGAGATTGTGCGTAAATCCTTCTGTGTAATTAGACAGAAGATTGAACTCTTCATTCGTCTATTATTAATTATTAATAATGCTTCAAAGTAAACGATATCACTTGAGGTTTTAACCTGTTTAAAAATTTACTCTTGACTTTTACACCGTCTTTAATCTGTTATGCAAAAAATAAGGCACGCAAAAGATTATTTATATCGCAAAACCACTTCATTCTTACAGCATCGCGTCTCGGGGGATTTTTTACACCTACAGTCTCTCACCCAGAGAAATTGGGAACTCGCGAAAAATCTCTGGGGATTAAGTGCTATTTGCATGTTTTTAAATACATTTCAGGGAAAAAAAGATGAATCAAATGGTTGCTTTTTTGGAATCTCTAAGAAGTTGAGCCTTGAGGCTATTTCGAGGAGCACAATTAAGGGGTATCAATATCTTCCCTTGCAGATTGTATTGCTACGCTCAGAAGCATGTGAAATCGATACGGGCCGTCACTCGACCGGGCGAGATTGCTGAGAAGCGCTACCGCAGCATCAGGCGTCCGAAGGCACAGAAGAAGCTCAAGATTCGCCAACTGCACACGTCCTCGCCGTATCATGTGTCAGACCACAAGGCGGCAATTACGGTGGGTGTTATCATGGGTGTCTTCCTCATCTGCTGGGTGCCCTTCTTCTGTGTCAACATCGTCGCGGCATTCTGCAAGACATGCATCGGCGGTCAGACCTTCAAGATACTCTCCTGGCTCGGCTACTCCAACTCCGCATTCAATCCCATCATCTACTCCATCTTCAATGCCGAATTCCGCGAGGCTTTCAAGCGCATCCTCACCACCAGGAACACGTGGTGCTGCTGCTCCAATGAAATGGGCAACGTCCATCCGCGCAACAGTGATCGCTACGTGACGGACTACGCGGCAAAGAACGTGGTGATGAACTCCGGACGCTCATCGGCAGAGCTGGAGCAAGTGTCTGCAATTTGACCGCCTGCGCGCCCACCAAGGCACGATGGTGGCTGTCTCTAGACCCAATCTTCATCATCTCGTCCAGCTCGATCGCAGACACTGCAAGTGCGCGAGTGCAAAGTGTGGACAGCTGTGTGACCGCACGAACAGAGCTTTCCCGCGGGACAATCCTAGACATGGTGAGCACGTCCTCATCGTCTGTACATAAGGTGACTGTGAACATTTGTGTGCGGTGTACATAGAGAGAGAGAGAGAGAGAGAGAGCTTAAGGCAGGGGAAAACCCGTGCATAAATGGAAATGTGTGTATATGATTTACAAGGAGCAAAAGAGCTCACAGTGGGTGAAAAATTTTCCATCAAAATTAATCCCGGAAGGAGAGATAATCTCTTCGTCTTCTCCGGCAATTTGGAGGACCGAGAAACGCAATGTGGAGAATTTACAGCCGCACTTTCCGCGGGAGAAAAAATCCACTGCGGAGAGTACCACAGATCCGCGAGGATGAATATTTGAAGCGCTGAGGATGAGCAAGAGAAGTAAGCCCAGAGTATTAAACCCAAATATGTGTGATAGCTTTAAGAACTTATGATATTCACCTCAAGCCCCGCCAACACTGCGCCACGGCACGAGGGAGAGAGAGAGAGAGAGATACATATCCTCGCCTCTGTGTGAAGAATATTCCCAAATCTAATAGACGAAATGGCGAAGGAATCCTTGAGAGATGTTCTGTGTTCAGATGTGGAAGGCACATGAAAAAATATTCAAATATATTGTGAGATCTGTTCCTGAGGAACTCAAAGGCACTCAGCGAGACGCTGAATATGCTAAGAAGACTTAAGAAATTCTAATTTCTTCTCAAATATTTCCCCGAATTTTTCACTCTTTTCTCTCCTCCGCCCTTTTTTACGTCTGGTATTTTATTGTGCTCTCGCATCCCATCAAAAATAGCATAATAAGTCCCTTTACTTCTCCCCCTCTTTTCGAAAAAAAGGAATGAAAATCCCCAAGGATGAATGACAAGAGGAACCTCAAAGGACACGAATTTGAATGCCACGAGTGGCCCTGGCAAAGCATCAGCAACTTAATTTAGAAGAAATCATGAAGAAAAAGAAAATATTTGGGAAACCATCCCACATAATAAAAATGAGCGCAATTTGAGAAGAAGAATCCTTTAGACATATCCTTTCTTATCTTCCTGACAAAAATCCAATTATACAAAACTTAAGAGAGAGAGACAAAAGCGGATGTCCTGTGACAGCACATTCATTTTTGTATTTGCGACAAAAGACTGAAAAAACAATCTCTTGTAAATAGTTGTTTAAGATTAAAAATGAGAGTCTATATTAGGAAGATTTTATGAATATTTCTCCTTTGACTAAAATCCTTGCTTCCCTCACATCCTCCTCACTCCCCACCATGATGATCATTTATTAATAAAGATGACTTTATTGCCACACAAGACACGTCACATGGTGCGTGGAAGAACAACCGTTCCATTTATATACTCACTCGTCACAAAATTCACATAAAACTCCATGAAGCTTCACAGCCAAATATAAATAAACGACTGTAACTTGTCGTGAGTTCAAGGTGTTTGGACGATATGCGATTACGGGGGGGGGGGTTGAAAATATAGAATTTACCTAGAAAAGCTGAGCGATAATCTCATGCTTAGTTTTACGGCACTTTTATGCAACGCTGCAAATTCTTCTCCGCATTAAAGCGTGAATTATGAGACAATGCTTGAAGATAAGTCATTTTTATATTATGTTTGGTGATTATTTCTAGTTTAATGTGAAAATTGCTTCGACGAAAAAACACACACTAAACGCATTTCAAATATAAAACCTCTTTATTCTGCTCACATGCAAATGATTGTCTGAAGAATCCTCTTAATCTCATATTCCAGAAAACACTCAACATAACAATGAGGAATGCACTTGGAATTTCTTGTTATCTCTTGTAAATTCCTTAGCATTCTGAAGCGGTATCATTGTGCATATCGTCCAATTACCTTGTGGATTTTCTAGAGTTAAAGGAAGATTCCTTTAATGGCAAAAGAAGTCTCATATCTCCCTTTAACCATTCCACTAACAAGAGGTCAGTGCACAATAAACAGCCACCTCTCGATGCATTCACCCACAATTTTCCCCATTTCTCTCGCAAAGTCACCTCGAAGCTCACCTTGAAGGACATGAACAAGAGAAATCTCCGCCAGAAAGCATAATTTATACGATGTTCACGGGTGAGAAACCCACTCGAATGTATTGCAATTTATCTCATTTATCCTCTGGGGCATCATTTTCTCGTCACCAAGCAATTCACTGATGCGACACATTCGTCAAGAAAAGTTCGGTCAACAAGTGGTTAATTTTAATCAATTGATTATTTTCCCATTGTCTCTCTCACGATCCGATATTGTGTTCTGTCATTATATCAGAAGGAGTGCTAACTTGTTATATGTTTCACCCAACAATCACTTAATTGATTAATAATTGCCATGAGGAGTGATTGCACTTTATCACCAGCAATAGATCACCACAAATAACTCCCGCCTTCCCTTTGCGAACATACATTGGCTGGATTATTGGTAATTTCGCACGATACAAAGGCAGAGAAGATCGGAACTTTGGATCTCTTTGGGGGATGCGTCCTTGCGGCTCACCACAAGGGATATAATAATTTGAGATATTGCAGCTACTGCAGAGTAATATTGAAATTCTCAAGCTGATGCCTCAATTTATACACAGCAAATACTTGAGACGACGCCCAAGGTTTCCAAACAACACTATTAACAGCTCTTAAACCTAAGCGTCCAGTGCACATGATTAATTACACCCACAATTAATTACTAATGAATGTCATTCTGCAATACATCTGTGGGCAAAATCAATTGTAATTGTATTCTACAAATATTCACAAATGTGAAACACACATTCGGAGAACACTCCTCGAATAAAGTTGCAGGCATTGTATTAACTGCATAGAGGCAAATATAGAGCTTTATTTAATTATGCAGAATTTCATTTCAAAATTGAACCACTATTTTGCACGCAATTATTGGGTCAAAACTCTATCCTATATTTTAAACACTAACCGCACTCTTGTATTATTTGCAATTATGGCATTTTCCCTGTCATCTGCATAAAATTCCTGAATAGAATTAATTCAATTTACATTTAATTCGCTCACAGAGAGACAATGTTACACAAAATTGCAATATTGCAATTTCCACGAAATCTTTCTCAGAAACTTCAATATTAATTTCCCAAAATGCAACTTGTACGTCAAATATTATTTTAAGGATATATTTCGCTGCCTCAATTTCATGAATTCAGCCAACCCTGGAAGAACCCAACATGAAATTTAATCTCCGAATGCATATAAAATGGTCACGAATCCGACATTCTTCTTTTGTCGGATTCGCTCCACCCGCCATGCGGAGCAATTAAATGTATTCAATTTTAATTAAAATTGCGATGAGTTGGCACAAAAAAAAGACCACAGAGCATCTGCAAAAATTATCCAGTTGATGGAAAATTGCACAGAGAACTTGTGCAGAAGTTCAGCGGTGCATAAAAATGGGAAAATGTTGACATTGTTGTAAAACATTGTATAATTAATGTAATAAGTGATTTTCAAAATTGAGAAATCATCACTGGAAAGTCCAGAAATGAGCTGCAACTTTCTGCATTTGCATGCAAAATGTTTAATTTAAAATTCATATTGATTTTCTGGGGGTGTTTTTCGTCTGTTGAAGCAGTTTATAAGTGTAACCAATTGAAAAACAAGCAAAGTGCAAACTTTTAGCTGGACAAAAAGTGTGTTAAAATGAAAAATCACCTCATTTTGCCCATCATTACCAAATGGTTTGGTCAAATAGACGAAAAATGGACGGAAAACAAGCATTTCGCTGGTTCATTGTGTGGAAAATCCGCAATTTTACATCTTTTGGCGTGGATATTGTCGCAATGGCGCTCTTTTGGGTGTGAGGGTGAATTTTGCCGGAGAAAAGCCAGACACTCAGGCTGGTGGAGTGCAAAAAGTGGAGACGTAGCACAGTGAAGAAATCCTGCCAGGAGAAATCTTACAGCAACAGTGGAGAGAATCCGCCGCCACCGAAAATCCAGAGGAAATTTGTCCGAGTGAAGATGTGGCGGTGTTGGGAGTGAGAGAGATACAGCCAGGAGGAGCAAAAAAGGATGAGCACACAAGTCGTTATCTCATAAGACGTGGAGAACAAGGAGCCGAAGCACAAAAAAAGTTCACCGCAAACTTTTCTCAGCACTGTCATCGTGCAAACGCGGCGGGGGGCGGAGGTGGAAGACAGAAATATGTGTCACAGCAGTGTCATCATCCTCTGAAGAATATGCCACTTCTTGGCGTGTACTTTATATTTCACTTTGCCCACCACACTCCAATCTTCACCGCATTGGCACATTGATGGGCAAAATGTTGGCATCCACAGCGGAAACTTCACATTCATTTTCCCAAACATTCAACTCCACAAGAGAAGAGATAAATCAACAATGCAATCCATCAATTGAAAAATGCATAAACTTCTCAAGCAGCGAGAAAACACAGAGAATACAAATCGTCAAAAGAGATTCCACGTTAATGACTTACATATATCCCAATTGAATAGTCTCTCTTTCTCTGTCCATTTATCCAAGCGCCCCAACAACATCATCGAAATGGGATATTATTGACTTGGTCTCATTTCATCCTTGTGTATTTGACGAGATTAGAGGGCAAAATAATGAGAGAGGGTGACTATTGCGGAGGCGGACGATTCAGCAAAAAGTGGGAAAAACACGAACACTTTTAATGGATTTCCCGCCCCCCGCCGGCCATGCACAAAAAGAGCCCGCATTGGCAATTACTCTTCAACTTCTTTCACTCCTCAATACAAGGCATTAGGATTCATGTCGAACTGCTCCGCAAAACTCCACCTTCTAATCCTTTCTCGCCAGCATTTGGCAAATTGAAGGCTTTTTTACACACTTCTGGCCAGACTTTCAGATTGTAACGATTAAAGCAACAATGTAGAGTCTAAAAGGGTGAAATTTGTGAATTCTTAATGTTTCAAAATTGTTTTTCATCATAATTCCCTCTCCAAGTCACTTTTCAGTGGATAAGTCATTAGAATGGGCGGGTCATTGAAACTATTTCTCCACACTTTTCAACAAATTGCACTGCTTTTTGCCAGTATTTGAATAAGACAAATAACCATCTGAACAAATCTCAGTAAAACTACTCACAACAACATGTAATTTCAGCCCAAGAGAAAGAGATTAAAAAGCTCTGGTCCTGAGTTGTTCCAGCATCATTTATTAGTCAAAACAAATTTCCTGCAATTATGAAATTAAAATTTAACACATTATTCTCTCAAGTTTCAATT